CGCAGGGTAGCGTGGCATGCGCGTCATACTTCTTCCGGCATAGTCAGCTGCCAGGCTTGAAATGAATATCATCATCATTATCAATATTAGTATAAGCATCATTATCATAATTATCATCATAATCATCATTATCATCTCTACCATCATTAGCATCATTATAATCTTTATCATCATTAGCATCGTTATCATCATCATTGGCAGAAGACTGGCAGACATTACTGTCCGCTGCTGAAGACTGGCAGACATTACTGTTCGCTGCTGAAGACTGGCAGACATTACTGTTCGCTGCTGAAGACTGGCAGACATTACCCTAACAAAATTTAGAGTCGCCCCAGCTTCTGGTAATCCAAATCAGAAGCTGCCGCGTCTGTAAATTTTCACTGGGTACTGTTCGTTGATAAAGACTGGCAGACATTACTGTTCGCTGCTGAAGACAGGCAGACATTACTGTTCGCTGCTGAAGACTGGCAGACCTTACTGTTCGCTGCTGAAGACTGGCAGACATTACTGTTCGTTGATGAAGACTGGCAGACATTACTGTACGCTGATGATATTTAAATTGGCTTGACAGAGAATATTTGCCTGCAATAATTCCCTGCGAAATTTTTTTATATGTACGTACTTATTTCTTATTATTTTAGAGTCTCTGAATACACGTACTCAGTTCAGTTCAATACAGGGATGTATACGTACTGAAAACTATGGGTCAAGTTGATCTACTTACCCCGTTGCAGAAAAGAGTTGGGCGACCGAAATGCTTTACACAGCATGGAATGCTATTAATTTGCAGGCTAGTTTCTAAATATTATGGAATTAACGAACGTAGTTCCATCCTTTCCTTGTTTTTTTTTTTTTGATGGCCGGTACGTTTCCAAATGCATGTCCAGCTGTTGTATTGATTTTTAATAAGATAATAATTGTTCACTTGCAAGTTGATTTCCATTACTCATCACAAGACATCATACAAAGGGAGCCAAGACGGGACCTCGATCTTTCAAGACTGATCGGAAAGACTGAGAGGAACAATACATATTTTATTATTTTATTATTGTTCGGTTGAAGGCTTGTGGTTACAATGGCACCCACCAGCCTGATCTCTGTCAGAAGGAACAATATTTGCCTCGTGTGTTCGAGTGGTTCACATCAACAAGATGGAGCAGCGAGTTCCGGGTTCGAAACCCGCTACTCGTAGTGAATTCTTATTTTTTTTCAAATCGGCAATACGACCGCGTGGTTAATAATCGGCCAAAATGGCGTAATCAAAGCAGACATCAGGTTGCTGGAATTACTTGCTTACTGTTAAGCATGGAAATGAAATTACTTTAAATCCCTATAACTTTTATTCATGCGTACGTCATGTCATTCATGTCACTATTTCAATAATTAGTTTATGTAATGCTTTTTTAATGAGTGACCTGAAACTCTCTGTCATTTTGAACTGGAACTTCACAAAACTGAGGTGTGACGATGAACATTATTAACGAGCAAATAATTACCTTCGTTTACGTAATAGATTAAATAGATTTAAAATGTTTAAAATATATATGCAGGTAACACATGCTTTTAAGTTATGTTTGCCCATCACGCCTTATTCTTCATTATTAGCGAACGAAAGCATGTGAGTAATATTGCACGGATGATAAGAGACAGCGAATTCTCGTTGTTATAACAACGTTCGTCGTTAATGCGACTCCTCAGGTAAATTTTACGTTATTTAAGAATTTCAGCGCATGAGCCAAGTTTACAGGCATGCAATACATAAGTTTTTAGTAGGGTGAATTGTATATGGATGGAATCCTCTTCTTAATTCACTCGGAGAATGCTCTTTTAGCAGAAATTCGTTCAGTATCAACGGGTGAAAATTTAATTCGGCATAAATTTAATAGTTATTTATGATGTAGGTTTCAACATCTCTCGGGTGTTAGCTTTGTAGTAACTTGAATACATATCATGGTTGAAAGAAAGCGTAAATTCTAACCTTCTAATATTTGTAACGAAAATAAAATTTTTCTGAAATAAGTTTGACTTCTCGAACATTTTGCTACGTCTTGGATTTAAAAAAAACTAATTTCTAAAATTCCAAAGATCAATGTAACCAATTAATAATGAATGAAGCATTTATAACCATTATCGGAAGCACAAGAAGTATAACAAAGAAACGGCGAACAATTACTATTTAATCAATTATTTCTTCGTCTAAATTTTCCCTCCAAAGTCTTTCGTCTCTGAGTCAATAATTCCGAATGTAATACTACCTCGCATGGAACATCTTTGTTAGCAGCAATGATGGAGCTTCATTGCATCCTGTCACCCGAGGCCTTGCCCAGCTCCTGTAATGACGAAGTATGAAGCAAGGCTGAGATGAGCAGCTCGCAATTGCATGTGATGTTCCCACTCGCTTTCAAGGGTGGAGTCTGGCTGGCCTTTGCTGCAGGGTTGCCAGATGGTGGCATGAGAAAAAGGCCAAATCAGCTAGAGAAAACGGCCAAGTCCGCTCACAAATACAGGCCAGAACCGGTCATTTTACGTTTTTAATACATATTAGTACATTTGTTGTTTGAGGTGCAACAATTTAGTTTTTGGTTTTATATGCGTTAAGCAAATGAAGGTCATCAACTTATCATAGGCTTTTGTTGAATTGACGAATTTGGCAGGAAAAAAGCACACCTAAAAACCCTGGCAATGGCTGGCATTTCCTTCGCTGGGGCAGCGTTGCCATGCAACAGAAAGGGAAACCCGCGAAGGTGCCGAGTTCCGACGCACGACAAAGAACTAATTCTATTATATTCTCGACATTGAATATGTCTTTTAATAACTAATAATTCAAGTTTTCCGAATTGCATTGCAGATGTTAATTCAATTCAAGGAAATTTCGTGCAATAAGTAAATTCTCTGAGCGATTTCAAATATTGAGCGTCATTCAATCTAGGAAAATCTTTCAATCTTAACACGAAAAATTACTCAAGTTGGGACCGGTTTCGAACAAAGGAGATCTGCTCGTGCCGGCATCAAGATTGTTGAGGAATTGTTTTTAATTCTCATCCACAATATGTATACTATATATAGCATATGGTTCAAGTAGATGACTCAGCATATGGTGAGACAATGAAACTGAAGACATACGGGAGCTGTTTTAAGCCTCGTCAAGACAGGGAAGAGTGACTTGGCTTGGAAGAATGCACCTCTCTATATATATACGCACTGCATTTGAATTACCTGGAATTGCTTTGTGGTGCTCTGAACAAATGAATGTTTGGTTGTAATCATGTCTTATGACATTAAACCATACGGAAATGAAGAAGCTGGTTAGCTTAAAAAAATATTCGCTGTAAGACGAAATACTTTAGGATTATTTTCAAAATTTTCTCGGTAAATAGTTTGCATATGTCGAGTCTTTACCACCTTTTTTTTCTTTCCATGATAGGAGAGAATGTTAATATTTTCCCATTAATCAAGAAAAAAAATTGCAATTAATTAAGACAACAACCTCTCATGTGGGTTCATTAATTCCAGTTTTGATCTTTTTTATCAAAGTACTCTTAAATAAACCTTAAATAAAAATTGCTTCTATTTATTACATCAAAATAATAACCGGCTTACATAATTCATATTCAGTCAAGCTGAAAAATTTCTTTGGAATAAAATATTCCTCATTGACCGTACTTTATTTAGATCGCGATGCATAAATAATGTCTAAATTTCCTCCTGTCAAAGCCTGCAGCAAATCAAGGCATGAACCGTCCCCTGATATAATCATGTGATAATTTCAGATCATCAGAGCTGTCAGCAGATGTTGCTGTTCGTTTGGCGCCGGATGCAAGGCCGGAAGATACAGTCTCGTGTCTCTGTTACTCTCGTATTTATGAAGCTCTTGTTCTCTACTGCGGACCTTGACATTAAATTCTACTTCGATAAAGCATTTTTGATTCTGCTATCATGGCCAAGATGAAAAATTCAATAGATATGACAAGCGTCAGGAAAATTTTGTGAAAATCCCCCAAAATTTTGATTGATACCAATCATATCACACCTAATGCAGAGGAATGTCGGTTTTCTGCTGGATTATCAGCAGATATTGTTATGATGAGTTTTTCCTTGTACCTTGTGAAGTGGTGTGTAAAATGTTTTACATAAGAAAACTGTTTACATCATATCCATATTACATCATAATTAATTCATATCAAGAAGAGTCAAATATTCGAACGATAAACCGGGTGGAATTCTAATTTGTGTGCAAATTCTCTTTCTGATAATTTTCAAGAAACTACTTTATTTTTCTTTCATAAACAAATGAAATACGCGTTCAGTAAGATTATCGATAAGAATCTTGTCAATATTATGTCAATAAAAAATGTACCTGAATATATTTGGCATTGATATGCAAACGAATTACAACCCGCAACCCGATGTGTTCAATAACCTTGAATTGCAAAGCAGCCTGAGCACTCGTGGCGGATGTACCAAACAACTCAATTTAGTAAAAAATGTCTCTAGTGCTATTTTCATATTTATTCAGCATATACTGAAGGATGCTTCATTCGAGTGACATTGACGGACTTATTTACAATAGGTTTTTGGCTATCTACAGACACTGCCGTTATCGAGAAACTGATAGATGAAATAAATATTAAAAAATTAATATAAATGATAATGATATAATTAATTAATTAATATTAATGATATCGTTGATTGGTTTATTTCATTCTAAGCCAAATTTAATCAAATTTATTAATCACATTCAATTACTATAGATCCTGAAACAATTGGGATCCTCGAATTTCGAGTCCAAAGGCTTGGGGCATTTTTATTGGTAAGATTTAGGCTCGATTTTTAGTTATACATCGTAATTACACCAACTACCTGCCTTTCAAATCCGCTTAGAGATGAAATACAAATGTACCATGAATAATAATTAAATTAGTACATAGGATCTTACTACGGTTCATAAACCTGCTTCTTGATTTATTTCGAAAATATGGGAGACAAATAAAAAGGCAGAGTTGTCACAAAAGCTATATTTCGGTATTTACAAACACGTCAAGGCATATGATATATAAAGCTCTATTTATAGTCCAAAATGCTGTGAACTCAGTAGCTACAGCGTACGAGGCATTTCGAAAATATATCTGCTGACGTTAAAAATCATAAATAAGATTTAGTTATGTTGCAAAGTTCAGTCAAGGACGTTTGTATTTTGTTCAACGATGGTCGGAAGAAAACGATTTTTAAACATTCTAAATGATGTTTTGTTTATTCGGTGGGTTTTCACGGGAACTCTTTAATATCTCAGCTATCGGCATTTTAGCACCAATCGAATTATCAAAGAAATGTTGTAGCACGGATAGGCCCGGGTACTAATTTATGCCGCGTTTTAATTCGAAAAATCTTTTATTGAACCGAATACGTTTCGTATTTGAACATGGTGCTGGAAATCCCTCTAAGAAAAGTAATCTAAAGAAGTAATGATGAGTTTAAATTATTGCTCACAATATTTTAGAAAGTTTTAATGAAAATAAATGTTACCCTCCTCTTGAGGCGTACGTGTTCTACTCGTGTTATTAAGACAATCGACAAGCAACGAACGTAAAAGTTCCTCAGAAGCTCTTTCTCTTTGCTTATAGTGATAAAATAGACATAGAAAGCCGCAATAGGAATGACGTTCGAGTGAAAATATCCCTGTAAATATATCACAAAAATGCAGTAGATATGGATATATATTGATCAATGCAAGCTTCCAGTCAATTGAAAGTAATCGAATCAGATTAGTTCAAAAATCTCAATATAAAATGGGTGGTCGCAATATACGAAAAAATTAAAATTTGGTATTAAAAATCCACGATTTTTTGTCACAATATAAAATCTGAGGTCGAAATATACAAAAAAATGAAAATTTGGTTATAAAAAGCATTTTTTGTGTAGCCGTTGCATGCGTGACGCATCGAAATGAAGAGCGTCTCTCCCCACGCCTGTTATGCCGCAGCGTAATCGGTCGGGACTCGGGCATCGAAACTGAACTTAATTTACAGTCTGCCTTATTATGAAGCTGAAGGCCGCCACATCCTGTTCTTTATGTGACTTTCAAATGAAATTAATTTTTTGCATTGGGGGATAGAATTACAGAGATTGTTGCTGACGATTGAAGTCACCTGTGCGATCTCTGGCTGAGTGAGATTCATGAACATGAATATATACCTATTAATTGAACTTTTTTAAGTGTGCAACGTGAACTTTTATTTTTTTCGCCAGTTAACATTTTTCATGCAGTGTGACTGACCGGTCTAAAGTTTTGATCGGCAGTCAGCACGCACCCCAATTCAATTCCATATAAAATACAAACTTATTGGTCAGATACTCTCCAAAAGTTAATGCACTCCCTATATATTTGATGCCAGAAACTATAATGCATAATTTTTATGCATGAAATAAAATTTGTATGAAGTGTGCGAATTTCCCGTAATTGAATTGAATTGAAATTTAACATTGTTAGGCTTAGGTGTTTAGGTCATATCCAACGCAAGAGAGTTGCAATTCTTAATCATTAACAATAGATCGGCTTGAGAGGGTGAGTCACGGTGTTCAAATATTATAATGGAAATGGATGCACTAGGAACATTATTTAAAATTTTGTAAATGAAGAAATAAATTCACAATCAAAAAGCAATTGCAATAATGGTCACATGTGATTGCGGCTACTGTAATTCACATGAATTGATTATGAATCCACCACACTTAAAAATATTAGCTAAAGCCTCAACTAGATCTAATTGCTACGCTCGGTTATTCATTCTCATGCGTATCGTTATTCAAGAGAGCCAGATCGTCGTCAGTATCTCTATCGTAATCGTCTTCATCGACATCGTCTAGAGTTCGCCTCCTCGTGTTATCGACATTCCTGAGTTGGGTTCCGAAAATCCCTCCAGCTTCCGGATTATCTTGGTCCCCGATGAGGCTGTTGAGGTCGTAGCTTGAGACAGCTTCTTCGCATCGCACGTTGTACCACCAGTCACACACGAAGAACTGCTGGTGGAACAAAGTTCCGTTAGGACACAAGAAGGATCCAAGGTTCCGCGAGTTGAGGCAAATGTGGAACACTTGGCACTGTGTCTCAGGATCTGCGAAGTATCCGCTGTAGCGCTGGTTTTCGCAACGGAAGGACGTCGCAGGAACGGATGCGTACTCAGGATATTCTCCGTCGAAGGGATTGAATCCCTGTAGGAGAAAAAATAACGAAATGCATTAGTTGGTAAAGAATGTTTCAAAAATGACAAAAAAGGATGGTTTTCAAATGATATTACAAGAGAGGTGAATTTTAATTTAAATAATTCAATGGGGATTATATATGAAGCTTGGAGAGTAACAACGAAAAAACCTGTATTTTTCAATAGAATGTATTTGCATCATTTTGAAAAGGATAAATTATTATTTAAATATAGGTTTAGCAAGTTGAATGGTATAGCAGCATTCCGACGAAGCATGACTTGCACTTTGAATTGCGGATGGAAAGCGCGATCGCGTGCGGTGCTGAAGTGACTAATGAATAATAAATTGTGATGGGATGCATAAATTGAGTAGATTGTAGTAATCAAAATAGACACGTGCGATTTATGACGCCGCACTTGAAGAAACTCTGCTCAATGCTTTCATTTGGGCGGCAGTTGTGAGTTATGGAACGAATGATGCTGGCTGGGCAGAGCCAGCATCTTTGTTCAAATCATTCCGAGTATTCGAGAAAATAATTCAAATTAAGCTTGAAATTCTAACTGGTGTCCATCTGCTTTCACAACAAATGAATAACAATCTATTTTCCGTTTTATCCCCCATGAGCACCTTTGAATCCTGGCATGAGCCTAAATACATCAACAGACTGACTGAACAAATTGAATAAGTGTAAATCCGAACTATTTTAAGTGACAATTACGTCAAGCGCATCGATCGATAATGGCCACTATTAACAAACTTCAGGGCTCAGCGAATAATTCAGTTATATAAGGGGTCGGGCAAACCCTATTCAAAATTCGATGTGATACAGCTGGCGGTCCAAGGAAAGCTTATTTTACACCCATAATCCTCGTAGACTTATCTAATGAAGGCTTATACTTAAATTTAGGCCCACATGAATTCAGCCAATGCTAAACCTGAAAATGCAGACACAGCAACAGATCTACCTTCACACCATTTTCTTGCAGTAAATGGTTTACAAACTTTATAAAGTGCACCGAATTAGACTTAATTGGCATAGTTTGGGCATACCCTTGCATTTCATGAAATCGTTTAGTGTCTGTCATGCCTTATTCCAGTCCAAGTTGGTCTAAGTGACTGTTCCCTCAACGGCATCTCGAGAGGTCCTCCCGGCCTAAGTAGCATCGTTGCTTCAACTGCCTCGGCAAGAAGTGCTAAGGTCATCGTATACTTTCACCGCACCAAATCCTTTTCGGATGAAGAGATCTATCGTCATCGGATGCTCGGTGCTACGTTAACAACATCGTCGCCATATTGAGGAAGCCCATCACGAGTCCCTCGTTGGAGGATAGGGATAATGGGACTATGGAACGCCATACTTTCTTCAGGTCTCATGTGGTACGCCGGACAATCAATCAAGCAGCTGCGATTAATTCGAGAGCATTAAACGGGGAAAATATGTATATAGTTTTTAATTCATATATATTTTTCTAATACCTTTGCTTGCATGAAAAAGGAAAGAGTGATTGATTGATAATCTAATGAGTGAGCGTAGAATCATATGAGATTGAACACGTTAACAGGGTGATTCTCGTTTTTTGATTGACAACAGCTAGATAAAGAAATTTTAATCAGTTACTTGTATATCGAAAACTTCATGCATGTGACACATTAATGATTCATTTATGAGGCAGAGAGCGTGCTGCATCGATGTAGTTGTGACTTTTTTTTAGTAAAGTTTGAGTTGGGTCTGTGTTTTAAAATTCGTTATCGTCGAGATTTAATCGCTTGTAATTTTTCACACTCGATTCCTTATATTGCAGTTTTCACCATCCAAGTTTCAACCTCTTTGAGTTTTTATTTTAAGTTCCTCAACTCTTACGATGAAAAACTGTCATGAGAACAGAGTTCCCAGCAAGCAGTCAAGCACGCAGATGATTTAATATTTGGACCTTCTCTTTTGAATAAGGTTGTGGGGGAAGAATTATTATGTCACGACAACAAGCTGATGCAGCGAAAAATATGTTGAGTTTCGTTTTAAACTTTGATCTTCTCACCTGAATAATGTCCCAGTCTCATTATTTATTTAGTCACGAATTCCAGTTGACGGGACAATTCATCACTTAGGGTGAGCGAGCAAGTTGTCGTACCGTATCTTCTTTGCAGCCATTACTCGAGGTTCCCACATGTTTTTAGTTCGTATTTGAAAACAGTAACACATGATTTTTTACTTATTCTTTCGTTATTTTTTGTATTGAAGAAAACTTTTTATACTGCATTTGACTTGAAATGCCATCAAATTAGGATCCACCTTATGATTCTTTTCGTGCAAAAAATGAGCATATAAGGCAGGGTTTATACACTGTTCGAAAAAAACGTGAAAAAAATAGTCTCACTGGCGTTATAGTGACCGGCCGCTTCGTAAAAATAAACTGTTTTCCGTTTTTGTCAGATTTTGTACGGGTTTTTAGTGTTAAATTGCAATAAAAACAGCATCACGGTGCTTTCATTTTACGTGCCAACCGGTCACTGAAATGCCGGTAATACCGTTTAACGGTGATTTTTCTAACAGTGTGAGTGTACTGCAACCATTTAAGCTAAATGAAATAAATTCTGAATTTTTAGTTCTAATGAAAAAAAAATTGATATTTTTTGGTAACTTTGACAGTACCGTGACTGAAAAAATTACCACACTATACCCATTGAAAACTATAAAAACTTTTAATTTGTATTTCATAGTTGTCTAGTATTCCACTATCAATCCTGTTTGTAGAACGAAGTGATAAATACAATTGCACTGGTGTGCACCAAGCCTCTGGTGTCTTGCATCCAGCTACAAGCCACCATCGGTTCCTGAACTAATTTTAGTTTATCCTCACCCCAATAATTTTTATCTAAATCGTTTAGCAGCCGACTAATTAGAGGCAGAAATTGGGCTCCCTTCTCTTTCAATGATCTTTACACCTTTCCATTAAGATAGGCGATGATGTCATCTTCGCCTCTTTAATTCCACACACATCAAGTAGCATCCTCGCCAGTAGTAAAGATTTTTAGGGCTGGTCATTAGAAAAAGAATTTCTTTATGCTGAACAACATTTATATATATATTTGTAACATATGGACGGGCATTCTCCGTACCCATCAGTACTAAGCCATGCAATCGTTATTATAAGCGCCGCAGAGATGCGGGATGCCAATTTTGCAGCAATGAAGGTCGGGATCATTCCACGTGACACAGAGACGTGCGATCCTTGAATGGCTGCTGATACTCGTCCCAACTATCGGTGGCGTACTGTCACACTTGAAAGTTTTTTTTATTATTTAAGATGCATTAACTACTTTTTGATAGCTCGCTCTAAATGAAAATTTTAGGCTTAGTAATTTTTGAGCTAGAAAATGAAAAAAAGGTAGCGTACGAACAACTTTGCTTTCAGCGATATTGAAACGTTACTATCATCAGTGGTTTAGATTTATCGAGATGGAGTGAATGCATACAAAAAAAGAATCTGGAACGTAGCAACGTTTGGCGTGAGCGAAAACGCACAGAGTCAATGTTGACGTAAGATGCACCATAGGCCATACATTCACTGCGCCAACGGCATCGCATTCACAGACGCCGAACCGACTGCTTTTGTCGTCTCCTATTGTGTGTGAAGTTGTAATAATAGTGAGTTATTTATATCGGTAACGTATTATTTACGAATTAGCGTCAAAGGTCTTTGGTCGGAAGGGTTTCGAGCCGCTGACTGTGCACAGCAATTGCCGAAGTCGAAGTGGAAGAATGTTACGGCAGCGATGTTTCGACACATGTTTAATTGGAGAACGGTTTCCTCTCAGAGCTCCGTCTTCCTTGGCAGCAGCCCGAGGCATCTGCCATGACACCCACGAGGCTCACGCGAGATGCTGCTTGCGCTCTGTAGTCACGCTTTAGTTGTTCAGAAATGCTTGCCCCTAACACGAGTTTTGCGGCTATCGTAAGCTCTAATTTCACGTATATATACTTTCATGTTGATATTGTTGATATCATGTAAGAATATTTTTTTCGAATGATACTGATGCACGGAAAATTTGGTTCGAATTCACGGTCTGAGGGCCCGAGTACCGCAGCTGGTACGGAATAGGTTTTTCAACTTATTTGAAGTCTAGTCTAAAAATGGGCATGACTCGGCAATGATTTTATTGCTCGGTATAAGTTATGAGTAGTAATTTAGTTGACTCATGCTAGTAGTTTATATATGCTGTTATAGAATGGACAAGTCTTCCAAACATTTTTGGAAGACTTGTATTTTTTCAAATATTTTTACAAAACGTACAAATATTTTCCTCATTAAAAATATCATCACAATTTTCAGAAAACTCAATAACAAATCAAGTTTGAAAGTATTTTATTTGGCCCTCAGTACTGATTATTCAAAAATTTGACGCCCTTGGACTTCCAGTGCTCGGTGGTAAAAAATTATCTCCCAAAAGTGTCATGTTGTTCAACAAATGATCCTTAGCTATTCACACGGAAACAAATGAATGGGGCAGAAACTAATATTAGGAAGGACAATTTTCATGAGTCAGAGAAATGTTGGTGAAAACAAACCTCAGTTCTGTGCACTGAGTGAGATGCCTGGCGCAGGTACCCTGTCTATTTTACTGCACGGGTACTTTAACGATAAGTTGATTCCTGAAATGTTGTATGTAAACAAGGATGCATGCAAGTGAATATGCCGAGAGAAGAACCTTTCAATCGAAAGGTCCTTCTGAAAGCATGCTGATGCTTGGCGATGTCAGGTCCTGATTGTTCGCTTTCGCTTTCATTCTTGGAACAGGTCCTAAGAAGGCTTCCATTTCACGTTAGTGAACCTCATGACCCTGCGACAGGGACAATTTTATTTCAATTTCTAGCACAGTAATTATCACGCGTCGTGAGATCTCAACTTAATCTACAAGGAGTTCCTATCGGGGAGTTCCTTGTACATATTTTCCTACTCAATAACAGGGGCGGGAACGGAAATTTCATGGATCGTCTGCATAGTTGATAA